AAAGAAAATATTCAAACATTCCTTGAAAATTGTTAAAAGCTCTGTAATTGCAGGTTGGCACTCTTACTGAAAAATATGAAAAGCTGTTAAGTCTGCAATAAAAAATTTTGTTTGATATAGACAGTCTACTGAAGGACTATATAGTTAGATTTTTAAAAATTAAAAAAAAAAAAAACTGACTGCTGACAAATAATTCCTGATTCATAGCGAGCCCTCCTTGGGTTTCCGAGGCAGTATCTATGGAAGTAGATTGCCCAATCTTTCTTCCAAGGAGTGACTGGTGGGTTTGAACCACCAGCCTTCTGGTTAGCAGTCAGATGCCTTAGGCACTATGCCAGTTAGATAGTAAAACTCAATGCTAAGGGTCAAGTACATGAACAATACAGAATGCACATATTCAAAAGTTTCAGCCTTTCTCCATTTAATTATTCTAGTTTCACCAGGATTTCCTCTGCATGTCAAATTCCAGTCATATTGTCAAGTCATGTTTCAGCCGTAGAAAGAGAAAATGAATCAAACAGATTCCCATCCAATTTCCAAAGAGAGCACAAGTATCATATGTTTAATTACTCTTCAATGTATGCATTCGTCACCTCTATTTGGATCTTAACAAATGACAGAACTTTCAAAAAAGAGACAAATCCACTTAGGAAAAGAAACTAATAATTGCTGTAATTGCAATCACATCAACTGGTCCAAGTTTTTATTTCAATTATTTTTGCACTTCTGATGGAAAACACTGTCCTCCAGAATAATGAAGTGCTTAAGACATGACCAAAACATAAAACCTTGAAATTAAACCCAGAAGGTAAAATTTAATTGGCATAATTTTAGTTTGCAGTATTACTCTCAGGTAGTGACCACAAATCAGAATGAATCATTGGTGAGCACCAAGCCTGAGAAACAGTTAATATCTATAGGTGCTCTGTGAAACAATGAAATCCAAACACTTGGTCTCTACTGGGTTGGAGCAAGAGAATAATCTTGCTTTTCTTCAAAAAATGATAAACATATACTATGATAGCCAAAAACCAACTTAATCCTTCCTTTCCTGGCTCACAATAAAAATAAATACTCTGTCCTGGACCTGAGATATGATTTCCTATTACGGGTTTTCATGAACAAGAGAGGAACAAATAAGAAAATGATTATGAATAGATAGGCTTTGTGTATTTTTTGACCATATAACCTTGTTTTAGAAAGTAAGAATCAACACAACTGCACAGAAAGTTCTTACAGACTGTGCTCTGATTCGTCTTTATTGGCACTTTGGATCAGAGTCAGAGTTGTCTGGCATTTTCCACACAAGTCCACTCCTACCAAGCGTTCTGGGCATTTAGTAACTTTACTAAAGATCAAAGGGCTAATGAAGAATGGAGTTATATCCTGGGACATGCAATCTCCTCCCCTCATCGCCTGGGCCCCATCTCCACAATTTCTACCTTCACTCTCTCTCTCAGCTCTTTTTCTAGAGTAACTGACAAAACCCCCCACCTGTCCTCATGCAAGAGAGTTTCTCACATATCAGTTACTTCAAGATTTGATTACTTGTTAGTCATCAACGTTGTTGTTGTTAGGTGCTGTCGAGTCGGGTCCAACTCATAGCGACCCTGTGTACAACAGAACAGAACACTGTCCAGTCCTGTACCAGCCTCACAGTCTCTGCTATACCTGAGCCCATAGTTGCAGCCACTGTGTCAGTCCATCTCACTGAAGGCCTTCCCCTTTTTCATTGACCCTCCACTTTACCAAGCATGATATCCTTCTCCAGGGAATGGTCCCTTCTAACAACATGACCAAAGTCTGGCCATTCTCACTTCCAAGGAGGATTCTGTCTGCACTTCTTCCAGGACAGAATTCTTAGTTCTTTTGGTGGTCTATGGTACTTTCAGTATTCTTCACCAACACCACAACTCAAAAGCATCAACTCTTCTTTGGTCTTCCTTATTCATTAGCCAGCTCTTACATGCATATGAGGTGATTGAAAATACCATGGCTTGGGTTGTTTTTATCAAGTTGGTCCCGACTCATAGCGACCCCTCCTTGGGTTGCTGAGGCAGTATCACTATGGAAGTAGATTGCCCAACCTTACTTCCGAGAAGTGGCTGATGGGTTTGAAACACCAGCCTTCTGGTTAGCAGTCAAGTGTCTTAGGCACTATGCTACCAGAGCTCCTTGGCTTGGGTTATGCACACCTTAGTCTTCAAAGAGACGTCTTTGCTCTTCATCACATTAAAAAGGTCTTTTGCAGATTTGCCTACTGCAATATATCGTCTGATGTCTTGACTGCTGCTTCCATTGGTGTTGATTGTGGAACCAAATAATATGAAATCTTTGACAACTTCAATCTTTTCTCCATTTCTCATGATGCTGCTTATTGATCCAGTTGTGAGGATTTTCATTTTCTTTATGTTCAGATGTATTCCATACTGCAGACTGAAGTCTTTAATCTTCATCAGTAAGTGTTTCAAGTCATCCTTACTTTCAGCAAGCAAAGTTGTGTTTGCATATTGCAGGTTGTTAATGAGTCTTCCTCCAATCCTGATGCCACTCTTTTTCTTATTGTCCACATTCTCAGATTATTTGTTCAGCATACAGATTGAATAAGTATGGTGAAAGGATACAACCCTGATGCACTCCCTTCCTGATTTTAAACCATGCTGTATCCCCTTGTTCTGTTCGAATGATGTCCTCCTGGTCTATGTACAGGTTCCTTACGAGTACAATTAAGTGCTCTGGACTTCCCATTCTTCTCAATGTTATCTATAATTTGTAATGATCCACATAATCAAATGCTTTTGCATAGTCAATAAAATACAAGTAAACATCTTTCTGGTATCCTTTGCTTTGAGCCAAGATTCATCTGACATCAGCAATGATATCCCTTGTTCCATGTCCTCTTCTGAATCCAGCTTGCATTTCTGAAGTTCTCTGTCAATATATTGCTGCAAACGTTTTGGCACTTACACATCTGTGCCAACAAATTTTGCCAACTGATTGGAAGAGATCCATATTTGTACCCATTCCAAAGAAAGGTGGTCCAACAGAATGTGGAAATTATTGAACAATATTATTAATATCACACTCAAGTAAAATCTTGTTGAAGATAATTCAAAAATGGTTGCAGTAGTCATAGATAAGTACAGTGAGAGCCTGAACTCGACAGGACTGTCTTGTTTGTCCAAGACTCATAAGTTTTCCACTTTTGAGAGGGTGCTTAGGAAAAAAAAAAAACTTCAAACTCACTGCCATCGAGTCAGATCCAACTCACAGCATCCCCTCATTGGGTTTCTGAGGCAGAATCACTATGGAAGTAGATTGCCCAATCTTCCTTCTGAGGAGTGGATGGTGGGTTTGAACCTCCAGCCTTCTGGTTAGCAGATAAATGCCTTAGGCACTACACTACCAGAACTCCTTTGACAGGGTGCAGTCACCACTTATCCATCATTCATTTTCATGGAAAACACTTGAATTTTCCTTCTCTGACAGGTTTCCACCTTACACAGGTACCAGGTTTTGCAGGTTTTACTGCAAAATAAACTGCACAGGGAATAAAGAAAAAGAAGAAGATGGAAGCAATAAAAATAACACATGGACACCCCAAAAGTAAATGGGAGGATTGAAAAAAAAACCCAGTTGCTGTTGAGTCAATTCCAATTTATGGTGACCCCATGCGTATCAGAGTAGAACTGTGCTTTAGATGGTTTTTTCAATGGTTATGATCTTTTGTTCGTAGTTCACCAGGCCTTTTTCCTAGGTGACTGTACATTGATTCAAACCTCCAATCTTTTTGTTAGTAGCTGAGCTCCTACCTGTGTGCACCACCCAGAAACTCCTAAATGGCAGGATAGCTCCCATGAACTTAGTTGGCATTATATTGTAGAAAAGGATGCTTCCTACACACTGACCAACAACAAACTGCCATTTCAAAATAACTTCAAACTTCAAACCTGAACCACAAACTTTTCTATATAAACCACCACAAAATAAGTACTATTATATATCACTCCTCAGAAGGAAGAAGGGGCAATCCACTTCCGCAGTGATATTGCCTCAGAAACCCAAGGAGGGGTCGCTATGAGTTGAGTCCGACTCAACGGCACATAACAACAACAACATTATATTGGGAGGAACTCTGGTGGCATAGTGCCTAAGACATTTGACAGCTAACCAGAAGGTTGGTGGTTCAAACCCACTAGCCACTCTGCAGAAGGAAAACGGGGCAATCTACTTCTGTAAAGATTTACCTCCTCAGAAACCCAAAGGAGGTCACTATGAGTCGGAATCAACTCGATGACAGTTTTTGGTTATATAGGGACCAAAACTCCAAACCAAACTCACTGCCATCAAGTTGGATCTGACTCATAGTGATCCCTCCCTGGGTTTCCAAGGCAGTATCACTTCAGAAGTAGATTGCCCAACCTTCCTTCTGAGGAGTGGCTGGTGAATTTGAACTGCCAGCCTTCTGGTTAGCAGTCAAATGCCTTAGGCACTATGCCACCAGAGCTCCCCTATTTAAATTTGTAGACCTCAGAAATGTTGAATGACATTGACACATTTTCATTTATTTACTCATTTCCTTTCCGGACTGAAGCCATTTTATATTTCTCAGCAGAAGGCACTTTGTGTTTAAGAATAAGACACTCAACTATTACAAGAAAGCTGAGTGGAGATTTTGCCTGTGCGACCAATTTAAAAAAAAAAAAAAAAAAATCACTGCCATCGAGTGGATTCTGACTCAGTGTCCCCCACTGAGTTTCCAAAGCAGTAAATCTTTACAGAAGTAGATTGCACAAACTTTCTTCCCTGGAGAGGCTGGTAGGTTTGAACTTCCAACCTTCTGGTTAGCAGTCAAATGCTTTAGGCACTATGCCACCAGAGCTCATTGTGTGACCAGTTAAGTGATTGTTAATCAAGAGCTCTGGCTGCCAGGCTTAAAAATCTACCTGTGGGTTTCACAAATATGTAATGGTACTTGCATTCAATGCCTTCAGACTTACTTGTGTTTCTGTGACTTTGGTCCCTTGAGAGAGAAGAATCTGTGGTCCCAGCTGGAATGTGTTGGTCGGGGTGTGGAGTAGATGGCATAGTGCTCTTATTATCATTTGAATTTTTAAGAATAACATCAGAAATTTGGACTTCACCATCAGTGACCAATGGTTCACTCCCATTTGATTTAAAATAGGGCTTTTTTAATGTTCCTGAAAGACAAAAAATGTTTTACAACATAATTAGGAAAAACAAAAGTTCAAGCAACAAAAGATTTTTTGATAAATGGGACTTTGTAAAAGTTAAATACTTTTCTACATCAAAGGAGTCGTTTTTGTAAACACAACAGATAAATACATAAATACACAAATAAATACGTATGAATCAAAATATATAATTATGAGAAATATTTATTTAAAAATATGCATCAAGGAAATTCTAGAGTAATTTTTCCATGTCTCATTCTACCTAGGCAAACAAAAAGAGAAAAATGATGGTAACCCAACTACCCCCTCTTTGAACAACCAATGGAGTTGTTTTTCTACCACAAATCACATGAATGTGTGAGGAAACATGGCTTTCACAAGACTTAAGGTATAGGAACTGAACCACCCATTTAAATTTCTTAGTGCCTAAAGAATTTAGGGCAAGTTCACCTTAAATTGTGGTGATTTTATCTGGGAATCATTAAACTAAAAAAATTATGAATTTTACAGTGATCTTTACTGCTTCTGTTTCATTCATCATATTATGTAACTCAGCAACTACAACTCCCACTCTGTAGATATCCATGCCTGACCCTAAAGGACACAATAGTGCTGCTTTCATTCAGCCTGACATTTCCTCACATTCTGCACTAAGTATTACATATAAATAGGAGCTCTGGCAGCATAGTGCCTACTGCACTTGACTGCTAACCAGAAGGCTGGTGGTTCAAACCAACCAGCCACTCCTTGGAAGGAAGGTTGGGCAATCTACTTCCGTAGTGATAGCACCTTGGAAACCCAAGGAGGGGTCGCTATGAGTTGGATCTGACTGGACGGCAAATAACAACAACAACAACATACAAAAATAAAAACCGTAGGGCTCATATATTTACTAAGACATATCATAGAAACCAAAAGAGTAAACTCAAATTATAGCACAAGCTAAAAGAATAAACCAAATTTATTTAGTTTGACCAGAAGCTATAAAATAAAATTATAAGAAACAATCATTAAATTTAGATTATCAACTGGTGACTTTCTCAAGGTATTCATGCACTTACAAAACACAGAGCCAGTCCTAAGCTAATCACCTAGCTTTGTCTTTAGGCAGAAATATTTGAAAATCTTGAAAGAGATGATATATTTTTAACTCAGTCAAAACAGATAGCAGACTATGTTTCCAGAATATAGCACTGTAGTTGAGCATACCACAAAAATGAAAGAGTATGATATTGATCCATCTATAGAAATACCCAAGGGAGATTTATTTTCTAAAAACAGTTACAGTGAGGTCTCAAATTGGCTCCCAATTTTCTAAGTAAGTCGCACAGACCATTAAAAATAAAAGAAATATAAATAAATCATTTAATATCAGTCTATGGAAAAAATTTCTCTACATGTGCTTGACACTTGGAAAACACTAATTACAAATTAAAATAGAAAAGCAGCTGTTTTCCAGCTAACTAAGGTCAATAGTTTCATCTGCCAAAGATTTCTAAATAAAACATTGGAGAATAAAAGCTAAATCATGACGATGCAGGTAACACATTCTCCAAATGTTGTGTGATGATAAGTAAATACTAAATACAGCAGTATGAACAAAAGAATTTCATTGTTTTTTTTTTACAATGATTTAGAATTTACTCTAGATAAAAATACATATTTGTGATAGGCTTGATTGTCATATGAAATGTATTTGATTCACAAGGAAACATTTACTAATCAGTTGGATATAATTTTACTTTAATCCATAGTTTCTAGTTGCTCCTCTCTTTGCTTATTTTGGTAGAAAGAGATTTTCAAGTAACATATTTCCACTAATGTAGCTATAATGGCCCATAAAGTTGATTTACTTATCATGCTAAATGTATTGAGTCAGCATCTAGCCCCATCAAAGTAATTTTAGCAAATGTCAATTCTTCGTGGTTATACCCAAGTAATTCACTTAAGAAGGGTTCCTTATATGAAATATTTCCCAACAGTTGTTCTAAATATTTTTTTTAATAATAATTAACCCTATTAGTATCTTTCCTTTACTTTTTTCACCTACCGTTATGAAACTGTTGTAACACTTCTTCACACAAAAAAGTCCTATGAAATACTGACTTTCTTAGGTAACAGATGCTGACTTGGGTAACAACTTTCTGAAAAAACGATAGCTTCCTTGCTCTTACTCTGTGTACCAAAGCAATTTGGAAGAAGAAAAAGAAAATATAGTCACTCCAGCTATTGTTCTTAAAGTCCTTGTTAGAAAGAGACAGAGAGAGGGAGAGAAGAATGAAAGAGAAAAAGCACAACCTAAAGGATCTTTCTGTAAAAGCCTGGACTCACTGGACAATATACGTATAAGCATTTCTGGAAACTGACCTACTCACAGTTGGTCATCTAATATGCATTGTTTAGGAAGCACAAAAATTAGAACTCAGTAAACACTCTCAAGCTGTACCATGATGAGCAATAAAAAGGCTGAGAGTTATTAGCTTAAGTAGAGTGTTCATTTTCTCAATGACACTCCATTCTTCTCCACATTCCTGTTTTTATAGTGTTGTTGTTAAAAGCAAGAAGCTTTCAGTGGCATAGTGCCTAAGGCATTTGACTGCTGACCAGAAGGCTGGCGGTTCAAACCCACCAGCCACTCTGCGAAAGGCAGACTGGGCAATCTACTTCCATAAAGATTGACTGCCTCGGATACCCAAAGGGGGTCACTATGAGTTGGAATCAACTCGATGATAGTGAGTTTGGTTTTTTGGTTTTGGTGGTTAAAAGCACAGGTTCTAGAGAGTGACCAATTGGATTTAAATCCCGTCTTACCACTAACAAGCCCTGAAATCCTGACCACTTTCGTTCATGTACTAGACATGAAACTCTGATTGCCTGGCTGTAAATCCCATATTTTCCACTCACTAGCCCTGAAATTTTAGACATACTCTCAGCTGCTCTAAATAAGGAAAATAAAATACCTATCTCATGGGAATAGCCATTAGAATTTGTTTTGGTTCTCTAGTCCTGCTCTAAAAAATATGCCACAGGTGCATGACTTTAACAAACAAGGATTTATTCTCCTACAGTTTAAGAGACTAGAAGTCCAAGTTCAAAGTGGTAACTCTAGGGGCCCCTGGACCTTGGGCATCAGTTCTGCCTCTTGCTCCCAGCCCACTGGAGCTGGAGGTTTCTCCTAACTCAGGCAACTGCTGGATGGTAATGCTGACAAACTCAAGGTTGACAAGTGAAATGCACAGTCCAAAGATTATCAACAAACACAGTAGGCCACTAGTACAAGTCCAGAGGCAGTCCCAAGATCAGCAGACAACATGACAGGCCACTGAGTTCATCTCACTCAGCCAAATGCAGGATCCAGATGTGTCAAAAGCTAGAGACCTTTTTCAAAGCATTTTCTTATGTACCAGAAGCAGATCACATCCTTAAGGCAGCTACTCAGCTGCTCACAGTAGATTCCACCATGGAGTTGATTACCAGTCTCATCATGGGAAATAACTATATCTAGCTGCCCAGCCACTCAAAACTAGGCCCAGCCAAGTTGACCCATAACCTTAATAACCACAAAATTAAATTAGTTAATACATATATAAACAAATATACAGAAACATAAAAAAAAAAAAATGAACTCTGGTGGCATAGTGCTTAAGGCATTTGACTACTAAGCAGAAGGTTGGCAGTTCAAACCACCAGCCACTCCACAGAAGTAAGACTGAGCAATCTTCTTCTGTAAAGATTTACTGCCTCAGAAATATAATGGGGGTAGCTATGAGTTGCAAGTGCCTAAGGCACTTGATAGCTAACCAGAAGACTGGCAGTTCAAATCCACCAGCCACTCCTAGGAAGGAAGGTTGGGCAATCTACTTTTGTAGTGATACTGCCTTGGCAACCCAAGGAGGGGTCGCTATGAGTCGGGTCCAACTCGATGGCACATAACAACAACAACAACAATATAATAGCTCCCAACACATAGTAAGTTCTCAATAATTATTAGTCATCCCTACACAAGGATAGTAAATTGTCTTCCCTAGGACTATGAAAGTTGTTGCTGTATGTGCTGTCGAGTCGGACCCAACTCATAGCGACCCCTCCTTGGGTTTCTGAGGCAGTATCACTATGGAAGTAGATCGCCCAACCTTCCTTACGAGGAGTGGCTGGGGGGTTTGAAATGCCAGCCTTCTGATTAGCAGTCCAGTGCCTTAGGCACTATGCTACCAGAGCTGCCAGGACTACTAAAGTACTTAAGTAAATAGCAGTTTCCTTACTAAAGGTACATTCCAGTATCACACAATGGTTAAAGACATTTCCAAAAATGAATCATTTAACCTTATTTGGAGTGAGAGGACTGCTAAGTGGCTGACAGAAGATCATATTGCATCAAGGTTATATGGTTCAAAAGTGCTTCCACTATGAAATAACAATAATAACCAAAGTTTAAATATGTTTACGAAATAGTCTGTAATTCCAATAAATAATAGCCAAATGCACTAATCATGTAAAATGGGTGAGGCACTATTTGTAGAGTGAATAATGATGCCCTAAACACACATAGTGCCTAAGGCACTTGACTGCTAACCAGAAGGCTGGCAGTTCAAACATACCAGCCACTCCTTGGAAGGAAGGTTGGGCAATCTACTTCCAAAGTGATACTGCCTTGGAAACCCAAGGAGGGGTCACTATAAGTCGGGTCTGACTTAATGGCACATATCAACAACAACAAATACGCCCATGACCTAATTCCCAGAACCTGTGACTATATTACTTTACACATATTACATGGGGAAAAGGACTTTGCAGATGTGATTAAATTAAGCAATTAAGCATTTTGAAAGATGGAGGATTATCCTGGATTATCTAGCTGGGCCCACAAGGGTTCTTACAAATGGAAGACAGAAGCAAGAGAGTGTTTGTCAGAAGGATTCAGTATAAGACTCAGTGGGACCTTGCTGACTTTGAAGATGAAATGGGGCTACAGCCATGGAATGTGAGAAGCACATAGAAAATGGAAA